TTCCCGAAGCCGCAGGCTGAGGGAATAGTATATTGTAGAGGATATTCCCAAGGGGAAATCATTTACACTATTGCTCGAAATTAGGCAGTCACTATTTGTTTTATTATATACCCTATACTGACTCTTGTCCCATTTCCTCTGCAAAGGCCAAAAAGGCTTAGAAAGCCCCCTCCCCGGGTCCATTGTTAGCATTATAAGCTGTGACGTCATCAGATGCTCAACAAAAATTTTTGCCTCTGAGACTCTCACTTGACAAATTCAATCGCGTTTAACACGCGGAATAGATTATCATAACACTTGAAATTACACAGACGTATTGAGCTTAGGGAACTTTATACACGTTGCTTATATTGTATCGTTCACGCACGTCTGTCATGGTGAACGGAGTTGATTTGTGTTTGTGCTCATCCTCCATTTTTCTGTTTTTCGTCTGCGCAGTGATGATGAGCAGACGTTTCCAAGGGTAATAGAGCTTGCAATTGTGACGTCAGCGGGCAATAGTTCAAATGTATATTCCCGCTGACGTCACATTTGAGGGAATATAACTTTCCGAGGGAAATAGTAAATCTATTTCGGAACACGTGACTAGGTATTGACCAATCAGGATTAGTGTTACATATTGGGTGTATAATAATATGGAATAAAAATGTGCAATCACCGTTACGTGACATTATGAAAATATGCATTAAATATAATCTTTATACAAATGTAGTGCAAATGATTAAAACTGCAAGAATACCAATAAAATGCTTTGGAAAAGAACTGTAACACAAACACTCAAAGAGTTCCATCTGAACGAATGGCACATTACTATTAACATATAGAAAACTCAGCCTATACTCAAATATAGTGATCGAGGTGAAACCAATATCATGGTGGATCATGGCCCGAAAATATCCGACTAGTCAAATACTCTCGGCTGATGGTTATGTTAATGACAGGTGAAGGAAATCTTCAAGTGAATATAGGTCGCTGGAAAAATACCCCAACCAATGAACGACTATGCAAAATGTGCAAATGTGAAATTGAAACGTTATCTCACATGCTGCTTGAATGTGAGTCTTTAAATGCAGAACGAGGCCCCCTTCTGGATATAATGAGAGAATATGGTCTGACTGACGCTACATGCACAAATCAGCAAAAGTTGAACTTTATTTTTGACGAGGGACAGATTTTAGACTGCGAGGGACTTATAAGGATAGCACAAAGTGTTTATAAAATGTACAATATGCGACCGAAAGAGGATACGTTAATGTAACAAAAAATGTATGATCTTAACCCAATGCGGTGAATACCTAGCATGTTATGGTTACTTACACTGTATATTAGAATGCAACTTTCTGGCATCTTAACTGTATATAGATAAAAATTGTAAATTACAAAACTACATAAAATATTGTATAAATGTTGTCGTACTAAACTATACTCTCATACTATGTACTCATCAAAACTGATGGATAAAATAAACATAATAATAATAATAATAATAATCAGTTCAAAAAAATAAGTTTTCTTGCAGAAATCGCCTAATCACCCCTCCATCCATTTTGTACGATCACCGGGCGTGAGTAAAGATCATCAGAGATCAGGTTGAAGACGTTCTCTCCATTTAAGTGGATATCCAAATGGTGAAGATCCCTGGACATTAGCAGGAGACCAGCGGTCAAAGCTATGAAATAATTTCAATAGATAACGATTGCAATTGTTAATCAGAATTGAAATCATGAAATAAAAACAAAATTAGAAATACTGTGTAAGCGTCAAAATGATCAACTTCAATGGTACACAATATAAAATTGATGTAATTGGTGGAATTATTTTTACGGAAAGTTTGTGATATACAATCACGTTTATTTCAATTGTATTTTAATCTAAACCATTTTTTCTCAACCAATTAATACAAACTTTCTCACGCTTTTCTGAGCTTAGAATATTATGAATGTTATCACAAGATCGACAGCGTTCATTTTACAAATATTCAAATGAATAGCTAATCGAGTGCGTTTTACATTCCAAGATCGATAACACGCATTTCAACGAATAAAAACTGATTTAAACAATACATTATTTTTGCACCGAGATTTTTAAATACAGAGGCGATTTCAGTGGTCAGTTGTTGGATGGTTTTCATTAAATATAGAACGAATTAGAATTGTTAACCACGCGTCGTTCTTTTTGCAAAGCAAATACTGAAGGTGTTTAGCTTTTATATTTGAGACGCCACGCGACGCCAGACTTACTTCATATGTTGCCATTCTAATACTTCCAAGATTACTTTTTGAAGCTAAATATTTGATGTGAAATTTCAATTAAAAAGTGAATATTAAATATACATATTCGTGACCAGCTACAAAGGGAATGAGAATGAAAATCATGTTAAAGCAATTCATAAAACAATATTACCTTTATGAGGTTCTGTAATTAAGTTGTGTAGTGTATTTTAATAGGCGTACCTTATAGAAATACAGCGAAAAATCAAAAAGCTTTTGCTTAAAGGGACTGAGGAAAATCAAGGAGTACATAATAGCCGTTAATCTGCCAGATTCTACTTTTTACACGTTGGACGTTACCAAGTTTTTCTTAATCACGTAAAAAACTAAAAAGAAATGCTCTTATCTGAAACTCTGGATATTCCTGTTTGTCCACACGTAACGAGATATGATGACGTCATGATAACGTACGTACGCTCCCGCTGTGCAAAATGATCTTTGGGCAGTTTTCTCACACGGTAAAATAGCGGGATTCGTTAAGTTGAGGCTTACAATATTGTTGCCATGTGCCATTAAACCTATACTATTTGTTTGAATGCGCCAAAGTACATTTTCTTACCCCAGGGTTTCTTAGTTCATCAAAGCAAGAATCAGAGATGAATTAGTAAATTTTCAAAACCTAATTACGGCACAACTTAGACACGTGTTCCATAATACCAGTGCGTGGTTTTTGTTTACGGCATTTTCTCAAAATTGGATCTAATTAAATGGTTAAAAGAAATTAGAAATAAAGAGTAATTTACAATCATTAGTCATAATATTGCTATATTTATTTTATTAGTACGCCTATTTGGTTTAATTATGAACACCGTTTTTGATTTAGTTGAATACTAAAAATTGTAGAAACCATTAGTGCGAGTTATTGTAACGTCTGCTGAAATGTTGACTGTATCGTTAAATAAAAGATACATTATCATTATCCAAAATGGTACAATAACATCTTCAGTCCAGAGTCCAAACTAATTAAAAATTGTAATTTAGCTGTTCTTAAAGTCTTTCAACATAAAACTAGTCACGCGTGATATCTTGCTCGAATCCAATTTTTCTTTAATAAGAAATTTCTGATGTTGTCATATTTTGCCTTATCTGGTAATTCTCTCAATAAGCACTTCCAGTGATCGGACGTGACTATTGTGTAGCCTCCTTCCAGAAGATTTCCGAAGCAGAAATATGATGAAAGAAAAATATCACATTTCAATATCAATGGGGAAGTTTTTAATCGAGATTGGACGGAAAGCGGAAAAGTTTACTTATGTCCCGGAGCCTGACTTATTTGAATGTTCTCATATATAAAGATAAGTTATTAGTCGTCGCTGCTGATTTTCCTTTAAAAAGCCCTTTGCGCCTTTGGCACTTAAGACACTTCCGTTTTGGAATGGTAACTATGGTTACGTAGATCGATCTCTGACTCTGAACAAAGACGCTAATAACCGGTACGCGATCTTTTACTTAATGCATCTTGGATAATTTCTCTATGACTTTGTTGTTTCATGCCGTGCTCATTTTAGCATTCAAACCAGATCCGGTAGTCTTCTTGCGTCAATTTACAATTGTAAATACAGTAATCATATTCTTGATGACGCGAGATTTCAGAAGAGTTCAAAGTTTCTCCCCTAAAAGCAAATATGATCTTTCAATTTGAGCATTACCGTTTGGTATAGGTATTTTTGTTGAACTTCTAAACAGAGACATATAAAACTTAGTTAATTTTATGATCAGTGAATACATGATGACAAAATGTTGTACATATGAAAATAAAGATTGCAAGGGGTTTCTGTAAACCCTTCTCTGTATTGATGATCTGATTAGGGTTTCAATCATTAATAAGGCGAGCCTATCTACATTATGACATACTAATAAATACAACATCGCTGATTAGCGTAAATAATGTCTAAAAAGCTAAAAGCTAATACGATAATCCGTGCAGGCAATTTACATCACAAAAGCACGCAAGGGCAAAGTACCTTCAACGATTTACAAGAAAATTGAATAATAAAGTTATCAATTTTTCAATCAAATCTCGTAAACGTTGCGGTTGTCACACAATGTCCTCCTTGGTATGGTTTGGTTAATAGTAACACGTGGAGGTATTCGTAATCAAACCTAAAATCACATCATTTACACAAATTAAAAATAGTATTTATTTACAACGTGATTAAATGTATCAAGTACAAAAGATCTCTCATCAAAATAATCACGATTAGTTTCGATATATCAGAATGAGAAATGTAAATTTCCTCTTGCAAGATAACGTCTTGTTTCTTAGAATGAATGTTTTTCAAGAGGGGATGGTGTAGCAATTTCCAAAACTCTATAAAACATCAGTTATGGTTAAACAGACGACTAAATGCATACGTGTTATGATCCCATAATTACTTGTAATTGGTTTAAAAGGCCATAAATGACTTTAGATTAACGACAAGACTACTCACTCAAACACTTAATAAGAGTCTCCGGAGAGGATTAGCAGGGCTGTAACTTTTATTTAAGTCGACCTACCATACCACTGGTACAATATTTAAAGAATTAATATAATGAAATGATTATTTTTCTTAACTATGAAGATGGACTCACAATCAAAGCTTGAATGTACTTGACGTCCTTTCTTACATTGAAAAGCAAATTGTGGAAATTATTATTATTATTCAAGTTCATACAAACTTGAATTTTAAAACAAATCACAAATACTCCCTTGGTAGCAAAATTATACAAATGTTCCCTAAAACCATTTTAAACGAAGAAGATCACGACCTCCTCACCAGTGTTAGGGGGCACTACCTCCTCACCAGTGTTAGGGGGCACTACCTCCTCACCAGTGTTAGGGGGCACTACCTCCTCACCAGTGTTAGGGGGCACTACCTCCTCACCAGTGTTAGGGGGCTCACAAGGGAGAGCTAATCAAGCACTTCTACACACAATTGGTTTTCTTAACAGACATAGAGATTAAATGAATTAACCTATGTCCCATGAGAAGAAAAACAGAATCCTCTTGTCATGCCATAATTCATAATAATAACATAAGAAGAATTGCAGCGATGTAATAAATCAGATTGATGTTCTAATGACGATGTCTGTCTGATTCATTAAAACACAGCCATGCTAGCACATCAGTAAAATCTGCAAATATTTACCAGAATATTCATATTTCACCAAGATGACTAATTAAAATATCTTGTTTAACGAACAATTCCCACACAGTCCAGATAGTCATTTGACTCCTAAAACCCAAAGCAATATCCGTTCAAATATGTGCACAATGGGTTCTTCTTTTCATAAACTTTCCAATTCATTTTTTAAGTTTAGTTAAAAACCTCAGATTTGCATAAATAAACAAGCAAGCGTATGTTCATTATAATCTAATTCTTTATTAAATTACTTCCATAATATGTACATTCATATAATTGTCCGGCTCTTTGTGATGAACCGTGTATTGATAATGTAACCCCTGACTTTGATAACAATTTTACCTATTGCTAGAGTTGAGACCTGACTCACGACATGTATCAGTTGAACTAAAACACGATCAGCTAATTGGGGCTTGACTTTCACTTTTAATTATGCAGTTGAGATCATTCACCTTTTCTTATATTAAAGAGAGAATCAGATCTAGCGAGCAAACAAAACAAAAAATTGTAACAATTTTAGAATAGTTCATGTCCATACTTTATTCCAGGAAAACTAAAGATCTTTACGATAATGTATTATTTTTCTGTTCCATGGTTAATATTTTTATTGTTTGGGAGAATTAAAACACCTTTCTCTCCTTTTTGCACGTTTAATGCTTAATTACTTCATCAATTTATAATAGAGATCATAAGGAATAGATTTGTAGGCAAAGTTAACATGTTGTTTGCAATTTTGTCACCCCTATAGATCTGATAGACATGAATTTTGCAATATTCGTTGTACACAAAACATTTACTTGTCAAAATGTATTGTACAATCAGGCCCGTAGCCAGAATTTTCCAAAAAATTCTAGGGGGTTCACTTTGGCAAATTAGGCCAAAAATCACTCAAAAAATAGTCAGAATGGTGAAAAACTGCATGATTTTGAAAGAAATTTTGGCCAGGGTTTGGTTTCGCCCGAACCCCCCCCCCCCTGGCTACGGGCCTGACAATTGTCTTATATTCATTTTGGCAGTTGGTTTGGCAATTTTATTGTGTCAAAAATTTACTTTTTTATATTAGAATTTCGGTCAAGGTTTTAGTAAATTGGTACATATATTTATTAAGTGCTTCTTACACTTGAATCTTTTATCTGATCATTATTACGTTCTCAAAGTATCATATTTCAACAATTATTCTACGACTACAAAGTCTTAAGCCTCTTCAGAATAGGACTAACGTTTGGCTTTAACTGTCGAAAGAAAACTTGACTTTCTTTGCATGTACAGTATCATTCTAGATTGTTGCTCGTTGATGATTATAAATATTGACTAGAAAATAAAATAACAACCCTATATTTGTATTTATTTCATTACATTAATCATGTTTGAGCAACGTCATCCAATATTAGAGTATTACGTTCTTTGAAATCTAAATTAATTGCAAATATTTTCAACCATTAGAACCTGCTTTCTGTAAGTGTATGCTCGAACATGATTTAAACTGTTGACTATATAATACACTTAACTTTCACCAGACACCTGTCATACGGCCGACTAGGCTACATATTTTCATTCAATAAACGTTCTTTAACCAAAATATATATGAGGTACTGTACAAGAACCAAGATCAAGTCATTCTCGTTTTGATCACGAATAGTAAGAGCCTAGATGTGAGGCCATGTGAGATGGATGATGTGTGAGGGTATGGTTAGGAATGTTCGAATACATACTGGCCGTACCTGCTCCTGACCAATAGGAAGCCGCCGCTGAGGATGACAAATAACTTCCGGTTGCATAACCGGAAGCACTCCCCATTTGTGCATGCGGGTTTAAATAGTTATATTTCGCTGGATTATAATTATGATTATTATAGTAACTTGACATTAAAAAGTCTTGTTGGTATTTATAGGCTGCCGTGTCTGGAGTGCTTGGCTGCATCGCTTGTGCTAGGCCCGCAAAGTCAAATTTATACGCATATCGTTTTCCATGTACCTTGGTCATTATGTTTTTGTCATAATAGTACCTCAGCGCGCGACTGAGTTTGTCGTAGTTCATGTTTGGTTTACTTTTCCTCTCGCCCCATTTTCTGGCAACTTCATCAGGGTCGGAAAGCTTGAACTCGCCATTAGTCCCCTCCCATTGGATAATCTGAGAGTTGGTACTGTCGGAAAGTAGTTCCAGTAAAAACTGCCAAAGTTGGATCTGGCCTGTTCCTGAAACACACATAGACATTACTGTTATAAATTCCATCCAGTTCGAACTGGGATCAACCACTACTTGTTATTCTTCTAACTTCTCTTTTGCCTTACCAGCCAAATTTTCATAGGTTTCTAGTTTTAAATTAAATAAGCTTTAAGATCATGATTCACACTCCGCTACATTTCCCTATATATTATTGCAATTCAGCATTGTGGATGTATAGAGCAAGGGAAATTAGCTCTTAATTACTGAATGTTTATATACTAAACAATAGAGGCTTCGGCAAATTATCAGTGTTTATGCTGTAACGATTAAAATCTCAGTCACCATTAAGTTAATAGTTCAACATTGTAATCGATAAATACCTAAGAATATGAGTCAACATTCAACCGTGCGCATTGGCTTAAATCTGGTAGGACGTTTTCTTTAAGTCGGGAAAGTGTAACGGCTCATTGAAACCATTAATACTTATTATTTTTCTTAATATGAGGTTCACAGTGAGGTTTTTAAGTTCTTTCCACAACAATTCCATTGAAACATTGATTCTAATCATGTAGGTATAGTGTGACAGAGAAGTCCACCATTTGATATCAATTTTATAACGCAATTTAGTGGACGCAGGAAATCTTGTAAGGTAATTTGATATGAATGCGACGTTCAACTCTCTACCTGAAACAATTTCTTCCGATAAGAATCGATCTGTTGAGAATGCTAAAACAATAGACAACCATTAACCACTTTAAATAAAAGCATGACAAAGATCTATCAGTTCAAATGTCACAATCTAAAAATGTATACATTAGTAGGGCCATGGTATCCCCAAGTGAAGGAAAGTGTGTATATCGAAAGCTAATTCCGTTGTATCCATGTTCGGATAAGTGTTACGGAACAGACGGCCATTTAGCGCGCATAATGGGCCGGAATGGTATAATTGATTAAAACTCTGTTTAAATGAAACAGTAAATAAAAATGAAACTATGCAGCAATAATGGACCACTCTGAGAATCTACCTTGCGGAAGTTATGACAAAAAGCCATTAAGTTCTCAAGGGAAGTCAACAATGAAGCGCTTCCTGAATCACTGATCAAATCACTTTACTTATTTCGATAAAAACATGCAACTCTATCAGCCCTCACTTTCAGAAGACTCTTCACGGCTTCCTTATTTCATTTCCACAAATTCCGCCTTACCATAATATAACCGACAAAATTTTCATTATGGAAGTCCGGCCTGTTAACGGAATAAAATATCTCTCTAATCCCGACCAATTTGAAAGCAATTTGATACGTCATGGTATTTACTTCATTATGAGACTCCCACTGGGAATTGTAACTAGCCCCTGAGTTGCTATTCTCATATAATAATTGAAGGCATGTCGTTAATGAAAAACTTGGAAATCAGAAAAATTATCTCAATCATCACCTAATATCGTCAACCAGTGATATCCAGGCCCCTTAAGTTAAGCTTATTGGAAATCATGATTAAACAATAGAAGTGATATATAAGCAGAGATAAATATCATACAGGATTTAGAGATAATGGGTTTAGCGGTAATGTTTAATAAACTCAAGGTGATTTTTCACATTTAGCCCTGGTTGTTAACACTACTCTGCAAGTCTCGCATATTGTGTAACTGCCAACTAGTGTTAATGAATTGTAGCGATCCCAGGTATTTCTCATAAATACTCATTTATATTATTTCCGACAATTTCCTTAAAGGTGTTAAAAGCAGGTAATTTTATGACATGAAATTTATCTTGTGGAATTGAGAATAATGTAACAAGAAATTGCTGTTACTATATCTCAGCTATATAGGACATTATATAAGACATTATCGTTACAACAATTCATCGGGACATTTTGCCCAGAGTCAGCAGTAGCAGAATTCGTCTGTAATTATACTGTTTAGCAAATTAAAATATAACACAGAAAAATACTTCTCGCTCTATACATATATATATTTTTTTTTTCTATTAAATCATAATATGAATACCGTAAATTTCACGCGTGCATATATTTTTACCTATAATTGGAAGAAAGTGTTTGAAAACACGTTCTTAAACGTGAAGGTACATGTAGCTACAGCAAATCATGGCATATTGCAACTTACGCATATTATGGCATTTTGCAACTTACGCATATTATGATGTTCTGCAACTTACGCATATTATGCCATTTTGCAACTTGCGCATATTATGGCATTTTGCAACTTACGCATATTATGTCAATATCGTAACTTACACAAATCATGGACTTTTACAACTTACGAGTATATAAATCATGGTTCTATTGTAACTAACGCGCATCATAACACTATTGCAACTAAGGCATATCATGGCAATATAACAACTTATGCAAACCATGGCACTATTACAACTTATTCGCATCATGACAATGTTGCAACTTACGCAAAACGTGGCAATAATGCAACTAACGCATATTATACCACCGTTGGACAGAGACATATAAAACATATCTCTGCGTTGTGAGATGTGACTTTTAGAAAAAATATTAAAAAATGAAAAGATTATTGAAAAATAAGTGATTGCTGATTTGTACCAACCTTGAGGTCTCCATGGAACATGAGGGGGACTTGTACCCGGTTCTGTCTTGGTCACGCCTGGTATTGTATTGTGTGGGTAGCCTAATAGAATCAAAACAAATAATATATGATTTTACCTTTATTTGGTAACGGGTGTGCAATCAGATGAATATTCATTCATTATGCATGAATCTATTTCAATGCACATGTAATATTATAGTATAGAGATGGAAGTCATAGACATAGTTGTACAAGTATCTCCACGTTTATATTACATAAAATAGTAACCCATTGACAAGTAGCCCAACAAATCGAATTTCCATGATTAGTTCTTTTGTAAGGCTGCACCAGAAGGTAAAAAGTCTTTAAGCGAAGGAACAAATCGCAAAGTAAGTCCAGGAAGTGATTTCTTGACTAAAATATTTAAATCCTTAAATGTACTTTGTATCGAATAACACGATAATATTAATAATACTAGCCTTGCCTAGGTCTGTGTCTTTTTTATTTCAAGGTTTATACTTATAATAATACTACATTCACATAAAATCACATTTAATCATGTAAGGTCTAAAATGGCTCTCTAATTAGTTTTCTGTTCCTAGAAAAGATGCGATGGGGATTAGAATTCAAATCAATTCAATTCAGCTTTATTTTCTAATAGAATGCTTTTTTCGTTACATAAGAATTCATGAACTTATTCGCTTACCTTTTATTTTTGAATTTAAAAAAGAATACGTACAAATATTTGGTGCGAATCACCATCATTCATAACATTAAATGTTTTTTGCCCCAAACAACAATGCATTAATAGAGGGCCAAAATTGGGTTGCAATACTGATATGATGTTTTATTAACAATTATTTCAAGAATTCTAGAATGGCACTTGAAAGCAGCCTACTATTCACATCATGATTCATGATCGATAAATAGTACAATATAACATATCGTGATGTAAAAAAGACTTCTAAAAATATTATGTTTACTTTAATTGTGTGCTCGAGAAAGAAACTTATTTGACTGGTGTTTAGTAATGTATTTCAATTGTGCAGTTTCGTGGGAATAAAATAAACGAATGTATCAAGCTTGAAACAATACACTATGCTACTCACTCTTTTACAATTCATTAAATATTCATATCATGTTTTAGTTAGTGATATAATACCAATAGACTTGTTGACAGTAGGGATAGAATACTTATTGCCAAATTCATTTGTGAAACTTGTGGACACGCCTCATGAATATTCACGCCGCGATTACCCCCCAAAAGCCACACGCTTAAGTAGCAAAATAATTGTAATCATTTAGAATGTAAAGAATTAATTATAGGATTGCTCTGGCAGGTGCATGCACGGTAGCTGATAATCTACAAGCTGAACAACACCTTTCGCGACCTCCTTTCTCCACCAACAAAAGACCATCGTGTCAAAATCAAAGACAAGTCAAAAGTTGATATGACCCGTGATATTGCAATGATCCCCATATTGTCCAAATACTGTATTCAACAAATTAATTTCAAAGGAAATTCTTGAGATGTACTTCACTTGAACAATGTCCTACTTTTACATTTCAAATATTACAATTAAGTTTTATTTAATTGCTTCAAAAGTTTGCAAAATGATTATCCATTGAAATGCAAAAAGTTATAGTCCTTTTTGCAAAGTGAATGGCATTTATCTCACTGTTTTGTTATTACTATTTTCTTCTTTTTTTGTCTGATTAAATTTACGCAATCAATAAAAGATCGTAGAAGCATGGATTAATGGCCACTTTATTTCGGTGGTCGCTATTAATTTATGTATTCTACAGAGATTGTAATGTTAAATCGCCTTGCCGACTTGGACAGCTAATTTTTACAAAATTTACAAAAAAATACCGTACCTTGATTCTGCATTTGACTTTGAGGGCTCCATGCAGTCTTCCCGTATGATGGATCTGGAAAAGGGGAATTGATATTGAATATTATTTTCTGTAAAAGATGACATAAAACTGAAAAAACTAATTTTAAAATGTAATGCTTTTAAAGCTAAAAAGTGCCCGTGAATGTGACTCATTTAAACAAAAAACATGATATACAGGTCTTTATCTTAATTACTAAATAAAATAAATTAAGCTAAATATTCTAAGATTGGAAAAAGTTTAATATTTAAACTACTGACACAGCCTTGTAAGATAAGCGTACAAAATATAATAGTATTCCTGAAGAACCAAAACGTCTTATTTTTTACCTGGAAACATTCCTATTCCTGGTAGACCGGAAAAGGTGCACGCTCTGTAATACTCTTGTTGTTTTATTCCGTTCATCATTCCAGTTAATTATCAGCGTTTTTTGTATGAGTCTGCACCAAGTTCTTCCAGTGCGTTAATATATATTACTCTTATTTATAAAAATTCAAGTTTTTTTTAAACATTTCATTGTTTTTTTATTTTTCAAATATAGAACGACGTCCGATTTAAATATATTTTTTATTAAATATTTTTGGATTTAGATAATCGAGTTTTTATATTGGCTGTCATGTAATCGCTTGTAAGACTTTCCCTATCCTTTCTCGGTTCTTTCCTGATCACATATAACCCTGGGTTGGCTCTTCCAATGCGGAAATCTCTCTTGTCAAAATCGGATTTCGCTCATCATTAAGTTCCTTCTGTGATAACAAACAATTTATACCTTGACTTTTCCATCGATATTGGTAATAACCTTCCAGAGGGCTCAGCCAATCGGAGTCGCTCTCTCGGTACAGTCAACCAATATCATTTTTCTATGACACGTGCTTTAATTATGCGTGCTATTTATGATCATACAAAGCACGAGGTTTACTGTCAATAAAACTTTAGAAGAAGATATAGCTGCCAATATTTTCTACGTTGGATTGGAGTGTGTTAAAATTGCTAATTATTGACTTTATATACTTTAAAAATACATTGGATCTAATTGAAAGTGTATACCAGTGCAAACAACATTATATTAAACTGTCCATCTTATACCAGCCAGCGTCGTAACTTTTGAGGCAACCTCATCAATTTTTATGATTTTCTATTTTACTGTCAATTGATCAAATGTTATTGAATACATCTGGTCAATTAAGTTAAACAATGGATGTGATTTGACCTCGTTATCTATTATTTTCCACATCCCCTTTTATCTAATCGAACGTTCTATAAACGCATAGTCAAACAAAAGTTGCTGCAAAAACAATAACACTGTGCAAAGCAAGTTTATGTTTGTGAGAATATTGAAGATACTGGACTCCCATAGTGGGGAGAAGAATCTAGGGGGTCGAGCCAAGTGAACGCACGTGGTTTATAGACATTTCCCAGCAACTTGGATCGATTCCCCAGCGCTAAGACATCCAATAATCGCACAAGAGACGTTTCTGAAGAAATGAAAACTTTAACAAATTAACTAATCAATTGCGAGCAAACATGAACAATAAATGACGAAGTTTATATATAAACCTTATATTGGAAAATTAACAAGTCATCAACAGTCATTTGTTGACGGAGCAGTGCGCCGATTTCATTCCAGGATTCTCATATAGTTTTAGAAAAATCCTGGGAAACAGGATAGATCAATAAATGCCACAAAATAATGTCAGAAGATTACACTCGTACTTTGACACTTACTAGACACGCAAACACAAACGAAAAAATACAAGTTGTATTCTGATATTCCGTGGGCAAAAACCGCATTATTTAAGAATAAAGGCATTAAATCGGTCAATATTAATAGCATTATTTCCAATTTAAAAGGTGATTTTTCCAGTCTGTTTGAATGTTGAGCTCTATGTGTTTGTGATACTAATCCAATGTTTTTACATCGCTTACTCTTTAAAATGGTCAAATATGGAGATTATATTTCTCTTTTGTTTCACCATGTTTTTCTAATATGGGGACGTGTGGCAGCTGACCATAACTACGACTTCATTAAACGGTGTACATTCACAGACCGAGCAAATCAGATTCAAGACCAATTCATTGGTGTTCAATCAACATAGTTCAATTTGGATTTATAAATAAAACAATTTGGTCCAAATTATACATTGTGTATGAAATAATAAACTTGATTCTGATTTGTCCGAGTCGCTATCGTCATATTTGAGATAAAAGTTGATTACTAAGAGTAACAACGATTTCCAATAAACATTTCATCACTAGGAGGTTGATTTGATTAGTTAAAATATATTTTTTGAAGAATTCATAAAAGCAATGATTTCATATTTAAAAGTTATTCTAGAACAATGAAGAAACCTATGGATAAAGAGTTAATTTCAAACTAAATGTGTATGTGAAAATTATATTTGAAATTGTGTCGATGTTCGAAACGTTTTCTACGTGCACTATTCGGATTAAATGGAAGACAATTTAATTCATGGTACAGCCCAAAATCTCTAACAAACTCTTAATTGGATTTGTTTCTTATTTAATTGCATTTTTTCTAAAATGGGGTACTCATGCGTTTTTGGGTTTTCTTAGAAAATAGACATAGGAATGATGATAAGAAACATTTTCGCAATCCTACCAAGAAATCACATTCAAATGACTTTTCAGGGTCAATATTACATTTAGATACACTTCAAAAGGTCTCTTCTTTTTGAAGGCCAGCCCTAATAGGTTAATATGTCCAAGTGTAATACAGGTAATATGTACGTGCACGTGGTTGGTCCTAGGCACACGCCGAAACGTAGTTGCCCAGCAGGGGCGGATCCAGGAACCAACAAGGGGGGGGGCCCAAATTTCAGGTCAGAGAAAAAACGTCCGCGCTTGCACGGCAAAAAATTTTTGGCCCCTAAAATCCAAAAATGGGCCCAAATTTTGAAATTTTGAGGCCCATTTTCTTCAAAATTTGGCCTGAAATTAACAAATAAGGCCTTAAAAGGCCCAGTAATGACCAAAAAGGCCCACTTTTTGGGGCCTGAAGGCCTTGTTTGGCCCAAAAAATTTTTTGGGCCCAATTTTTTTTTTCTGGGCCCACCCAAGGGGGGGGGGGGCCCGGGCCCCTGGGCCCCCCCCCCCCCCTAATCCGCCAGTGCCCAGAGTGCTTACAATGGAAGCTATATCACAACCAATATTCAGGGAACTTCAAAGAGGACACGTTTACAAAATGGACTCTTTATATTAAGACAAGCGTGCCATCCTTTATCATATGGTAATTCAACAATTTTATGAGTGACCACTACAGAATAAACCAGGATGGTTTCTTTGACTTTTCCACCAATGCGTAAAATTAGTCGTATTGTGTTGATCTTGGTCATTTATTCAACTTTTAGTAGGTGTAAAATAGTCATTACGATCAAACGAAAGCATATGCAATTATGATAAATAATTTGTTGTGTTGAATGGGGATAGAAGGAGTGTTGAAGTCAATGAGGATATAATGCATTGAGTTTGTATTGAATTGTACAAGTATCTTCATATTACCACAAAACTCCCAAAAGCTTTGCTTTTTTACAAGTCACACTCAAGATAGAAATACTTTTAGGTTATATTTGAGGACTGTGAAGAAAGAAAAAACTAAAATTAGTTTATCTTGAACAGTGTTAAATTGTGAATATCCACTTATATCATCCCATACCTTTCCCCAATCCACTTATCATATCATTCCCATACCCATCCCTCGTCCACTTATCATATCATCCCCAAACCCTTCCCTAATCAACTTATCATATCATTCCCATACCCTTCCCTCATCCACATATCATATCATCCCCATCCCTCATCCACTTATCATATCATCCCCATACCCATCCTTTATCCACTTATTATATCATCCCCATACCCTTCTCATCCACTTATCATATCATCCCCATACCCTTCCCTCATCCACTTATCATATCATCCCCAAACCCATCCATAATCCACTTATCATATCATCCCCATACCCTTCCCTCATCCACTTATCATATCATCCCCATCCCTCATCCACTTATCATATCATCCCTATACCATTCCCTCGTCCACTTATCATATCATCCCCATACCCTTCCCTCATCCACTTATCATATCATCCCTTTACCCATCCTTTATCCACTTATCATATCATCCCCATACCCCTCCCTCATCCACTTATCATATCATTCCCATACCCTTCCCTCATCCACTTATCACGTCATCCCCATACCCATCCCTCATCTACTTATTATATCATCCCCATACCCATCCATAATCCACTTATCATATCATACCCATACCCATCCTTCATCCTCTTTTCATATCATACCCATCCCCATCCCTCATCCACTTATCATATCATCCCCAAACCCTTCCCTCATCCGATTATCATATCATCCCCATACCCATCCTTTATCCACTTATTATATCATCCCCATACCCCTCCCTCATCCACTTATCATATCATTCCCATACCCTTCCCTCATCCACTTATCACGTCATCCCCATACCCATCCCTCGTCCACTTATCATATCATCCCCATATCCTTCCCTCATCCACTTATCATATCATCCCACTCCCTCATCCACTTATCATATCATCCCTATACCCATCCTTTATTCACTTATCATATCATCCCCATACCCTTCCCTAATCCACTTATCATATCATCCCCATACCAATCCTTTATCCATTTATCATATCATCCCCATACCCTTTCCTCATCCACTTATCATATCATCCCCATACCCAACCCTCGTCCACTTATCATATCATCCCATACCCTTCCCTCATCCACTTATCATATCATCCAATACCCATCTCTTATCCACTTATCATACCATCCCAATACCAATCCTTTATCCACTAATCATATCATCCCCATACCCTTCTCATCCACTTATCATCTGATCCCGATACCCTTCCCTCATCCACTTATCATCTGATCCCCATACCCATCCTTTATCCACTTATCATATCATCCCCATACCCTTCCCTAATCCACTTATCATATCATCCCCATACCAATCCTTTATCCATTTATCATATCATTCCCATACCCATACCTCATTGGTATATTCCGTATTTTACGTATTTTACACTCGAAGACAGACAGAGCCAGAAACCCTTCCTAGGAGGAACCCTGTGTTATTTTGTGTGCACGGGTACATAGACATACATGTACGTACAAGTACACACCACAGCCTTTTATACGAGTCGTGAACCACTCAGTCAAACACCCAGAATTACATAACGCACAAAGAAACTTGTCTGAACCGGGGAACGAACCCGGGGCCAAGCGATTATTATATCATCCCCATACCCATCCTTTATTCACTTATCATATCATCCCCATACTCATCCTTTATCCACTTATCATATCATCCCCATCCCTCATCCACTTATCACATTATCCACATACCCTTCCTTTATCCACTTATCATATCATCCCCATCCCTCTTTTAGTTATCATCTCATCCTCATTTTGGTAATTACGTCATATCATCATCGCTGATTGGTCGAAAAACATTTACAGATCACTTCGCGAACAGATCCAAGAAGTATAAGTATGGGTCATCTCCCCCCCCCCTCTACATTTCATTTGGCCAATACTATACAGCACCAGTCTGTCATTACGCTTGAGTTTATAGGTCGCGCATAGCCATGATTCGTGGTTATCAACCCCAACCTATCAAGACTAATAATCATAATGAATACATATCAGTAATTTTCTTGCGCACATTAGCGCTAGTGAAT